AAAGATGATGCTACAGGAATAATTAAAGGGAATAGACCTCTGAGAAGATATCTGTAACTTACAAAGTAGCTTGCTGAATGATTGCTTAATTCAAGGATTTCTAGTTTGCTTTTTAGATAAATTAAGTGCAAGCACTGACAGAGAGTGAAAAGAACTAAAAGATCTGGGGCAAGGGAGAACAGGAGCTATAGGAAGAACCTGAGAAGCGTGGGTGTGTCCAGATGTACTGGATGCAACTTGAAGCAGAGGGAGGTGGGAAGTGCAGTGGGGTCAGAGCTGTGCTTGCTGGTGTAACTCCGCAGAGAAGAGCTGAAGATGAAGGAGGGCTAGATTTAAATTTTGGTGATAGAGGAAGCATGTTAAGGTTGATGTATCTCATCCTAATCAGCGTTCGTGACCTGAGCTGTAAAGGACAGCAGGGGTATCCTTTTTGAATTTAAGCCGCGCGTTTCTCTAGAGAGCTCCCTGGAGCTCAGACCCAGTGATCTCATGCATTGGTTTGTAGTCTATTTACAGACTAAAAAACGTAGAGGTGGCTACTCTGCACAGTGAATGTAAGCCTCTGTTCTAGACTTGGACCTTGACTTGGACCTACTCAGTGGCTTTTAACCTTAAGCTTCCCCATTTCTAGGGCCTAATTAGTGATTATTTTTCCCCACAGGTAATGATGCGAAGTAGCCAGCCTCTTACAGGTACAAATGGGAGACGATGTAAAGAAGATGAGAAGCTTATTAATGCCACACTACGGGCAGGCAAGCGTGGCTACATTATTGATACGAGGTCCCTGAATGTCGCCCAGCAGGCCAGGGCCAAAGGAGGAGGTTTTGAACAGGAAGCACACTATCCGCAGTGGAGGAGAATTCACAAATCTATTGAGAGGTCGGTGAAATCACACAGGCCCTCCTCTGCTTGTAGGGTGCCACCACTTTGTAGGGTGCTTTGGCCATTCTAGTTCTGGTGCTGTAAGAAATGGCCACGTATCCTGCTTGCTGTCAACAGTCATGTTTTCTTTGGCAGAAAAAGGGTATGTGGATAATAAGGGTATTTGGTTTTGAAAAGCTGGTTTTGGTTCCTTTTTCTGAACAACGTGCTGCTGCTGCTGAAGCTTTCAGATGTCAGGCAGTCTCCCTGAGCTATGTATTTCACTGTTGACCATCTACAGCTGCAATCCAGCCTTCTTTTGTTTGTCTTTGCAGTGCACAGGAAGTCCCTTGCTAGCAAATATCTGGAGGTGAGGACCGTGCTTTGTGGCAGAATTGCACTTTTCCTACCCTGCACTTTTCTCGGGTTATCTCATAGTGTTTGGCAACTTGGAAACAAGTTACTAAGTTCAGTAAACTTTGCTCTGAGCTTTTATAACTGCTCTTAACCCTTAGTTTCAGAGAATCCTTCCTTAGGGGCTTGCAGTAAAGTTGCTGGAGCTATTGAAAAGCACCCATTCCCTCCATCACTGTATAGGCCAGCTTTTTAAGAGCTAGCAGAAGGAATTTCTTGCTCTGTGCTTTTAACTATTTTTGCTTCTGGAAAACTTATGGGGAATTGAACTTGATGTCAATTTATTTTTACAGGCGGACTTGGACATCAGAGTCTTTATACATTTTTGTTCTAGTCATTCCTCTAAGTGACACACTATTTGTATTAATCTCCTTGCTGCATCCTTTATTACACCTGAGCACATGTTCTAATCTGTTATTTAAGCAGTGCTTGATCCATCAGTAACTTGGCGCACCTGGAAAGCATAGTGTGAAACAAGAACAGAGGAACATCTGTTTTTACCAGCTGCATGCTGGACACTAGCTTTCTAAGGCTTGAGGACATATTACAACAAAGTAAAAGTAAAACAAAATATGTAACCTTCCTCCCTCTTTTCTATTGCAAAGAATTCAGCCAAACTAATGTGGCTCTATGCTGAGAAGTTGAGTTTGTCTTAAAATTTTCTGTCTTAGTGATGGGATTATGGCCTTGTGATAATGACTTTCAGGTCAGTGTTGCATTCTGTAGTTGGAGCTGGGGGAGCAAAAGTGAGACTTCTAGTGTAATACAGAGAATGAGGATATGGCACTTGAAGCCTGGCTGACATTTGCTTATGTCCATGCCAGATTACAGTCTCACTTGTATTTAGTAATGGGAGCGAGATGTTTTGAAACACATTTTATACGGAAAGTCTAAGATATACCTGAACACACAGAGTTCAGGTAAAATAAGGAAAAAGCTATAGTATTGTGATGCCTCATGAAACGGTTCCTGTCTTGAAAGGAGAGAGATTGCCTGTGCCCAAAGAGGGGCATTCTGCTGGCTGTTAGCAGTGGCTTGGAATTCCCAGTAGCAGCAAGTTTGCTGAATAAGGAGATTTGAATTCTACAAAGTCATGCTGTTTGACAGAACAGCGTCTAAACCGTAGTGCCTAACTTTTACGTTGTGATCTTTAAATGTCTTTTTGTGAGCCTGTTGTCCTAGTTGCTATGCTGCTGCTTGTGTTTTTAATAATATTTTACTTTTCCCAAAGGTTTAATATTCTGCAGGAAAGCCTCATCAAGCTTGTGGAAGCTTGTAATGACCAGTCGCACAATATGGACCGTTGGCTCAGTAAACTGGAGGCTTCTAACTGGCTGACTCACATCAAGGAGATACTAACTGCAGCTTGTCTAGCTGCTCAGTGTATTGATAGGTAAATCATTTTTCAGAAGCCTTGAGTTTCTCGTTCACTTGTTACAGACTTCTTACTAAATACTGGAACAGAAAAGAGATGTTTAACAACTGGCTACCATGAACCAGCTTGCTTGTACCCATGAAAGATGTTATTTCATCATCACAGTTAAAGAATGTTCCTCCCGTGCATCATGTTCACATTTTTATGAGTACAAGCCTGAGGGGGAAAAAATATTAACTGAGAATAGATATTAGATCATCTACTTGAGATCTATTCCTATGTCTGATTCACTCAATCTAATTTAGTTTGCTTTACTGAAGGTTTAGATTAGAACGTGCCCATCTGAAATGCTGTTGTGGCAGCCTAGTAAAATGAGAATGCGGTGTTTTTTAAAAATGATCTTTTTTCGACAGAAATTTTCCAGTACCCCACCTTGCTTCTAGGGTTTAAAACAATGATATTTCCTTGTTTCCTCCAGGAGCTGGTACTGTGCTTTTTGCTCTTGAAACTTTTCTCCCCGTAGTCCAATCTGAGCAGTCCTTCTCATCCTTTATAAATGGTTTGTGACCTCTCTTAACCTGACAGTTATTAAATAAATACTGTTAACTTGGTTAAGTTGTCCTCAAAATGTCTTCAGGCCTCAGGCTGGAGAGCTAGCTTTTTAGCTAGCACTCAGGTGCCAGGGTTTGTAGGACTGAACACAGTGCTCTGCACATAGTCTCTTTATGGCTCTGAAGGGGGGGACGATCTTCCCAAAGCTCAAGGAACCCCTAGGTTTTTTTGTAGCCACAGAATGCATTATACAGATATACAAGTAGAATGAAATGCAGTCTCACTGGTAAAACAGCATTACTGCCTTAAAACATGAGCTGCTGTCTGCTGTGAAAGCAGCAATGTCTGTTTAGTTATGGACTATGCCAGGAAAGGATTGCTCCTGATCAATAGTTTTATCTGTAATTCTTTCCCCTCATGTATGATGAGAAAGAGCAGTGATGAAATTTCTCTGGCCTGTTCAGGCAGTAGATGGTTTCATCGCTCTTAACCTCAGCTTTGGTTTATCTGTTTACCTGGAGTTGTGGCAGGCCAGCTCAGCACTGCTGCCTGGCTAGCCTCATTCAGAGCCCGGTGATTACATTTGAGCTGACAAGGATTTTTCAGTTACATTGGCCCCAGGGAGGGAATGGCTGGGAGAGATCTCTGCATCTCCTTAAAGGTCTGGGGCCAGAAAGATGAAAGGTTACAATAGCATTATGCTAGCATGTCCCACTTTGGGCAGTGCGTAGATTTGGCAGTTGACCTGATTAACTCTTCTGAGCGCAATTGCAAGTAAGAGGCCTCTTGATCCCTCACTTCCTGGGGGAGGGGAAGAAGAAAGTATGTGAAGACTATTTCATAGAGGCATTGGTGATGTTTTAGACATCAAACTGTGGATGAAGATGTTGCTGTGTTTAAGGTATGGATTCTTTTGCTTTTGACTTCAAAAAGCAAGTTCTGTCTGCAGGGTTACTTGTTTCATTGATTATCTCTTTTTACCCATACTTCACAGCTTAGCTGGGTCTCTGCACAATAACATATACAACCTGCAATTAATTTCCTTTCTAGGTGCAAGGATTCTACCAGAAATGAGACATATGTCAAAGTATGGGAGGAGTAGGAGGGATGAATGCCACTTAATACCCTGCGGTCCTTGTTCAGGAGTACTTGAGTTAGGTTCTGATGATGTATCCCAATACAGTCTGGGACGCAGGAAGAGGGAAGGGGACAGTTATCTTGGACAGTGACCATGGGAGGGTGGGGAGTGATAGCATGTGGCACCCTAGCACCCTCTTTCTCTTTCCTGAATGGGCTTATGGGCTTTTGTTTGCAGTAATACCCAATTAAGGTCCAAATGCAGTCAAGGCCAGATGTGAGCCAGAATCTCGTAGTAATGTTTTGCAGAGCATCTGGCAGGACCGGAGGTCTTCGTTGCAAATGTATATGGGACTGTTTCAGGGTACTTAGCAAAATAATAAATGGCCCAGCCAAATTTTGAGATTTGGCCTTTGATACTATAAATAGAAGAGGTACCAGCTCAAAACAGTGAGCTTCACAAAAAGAAATTTCCCTGCACCTCTCCAGTGCACATGGCAAAGAGTCTGGATTTTCAGAATGTCTAACCAAAAATGAAGCCTTAAGTGATGCATAGCTCTGATCAGTGCTGGTGAGGATCTAGATGGAGGAGTTTGCTGTGGAGGTGTGCTTAAGGGATGGAAAGAGAAGGGGTAAAGAGCCAGCAAAACCTCAGCATTGTCAGGGTAGTGACATGGGTGTCCATGAGATGTATTGGCATCCATTGGGATGCCTACGTCCTTGGGACATATTGTACTTGTTCATACTCTTATTTCTTTCCACCCTTCTTACAGGGAAGGGGCATCGGTGTTAGTTCATGGGACTGAAGGAACTGATTCTACGCTCCAGGTAACTTCTCTGGCACAGATTATCTTGGATCCAAAATGTAGAACCATACGTGGCTTTGAATCTCTCGTTGTGAGAGAATGGCTTCAGGTAAGAAATGCCTTTGAAGTAGCAATATGTATATGGATGAAATGTCAAGCTATTCAAGTGACATTTGTATTGAGAAAGAGTTTGAGAGGTGGCACACAGGTTGGAATTTGTTGCAACCCTACTTAGTGTGAATGGACCTTGTCCTAAGGAGCAACGTCATTACTGAATCATTTGTCCCTCTTGCATTCCATATATAGCCTCTGCCCCTCATGGTAGTTCTTTGGTTTTAGGGAATTGAAGTTTTGTGTGTTTAGTCTGAATTTCTGTTTTGAGAACACTGATCAGGGTGAAACACAAAACCTCAATTCCGCTCTTCATAGTCTTATAGCAAATATCCTCAGTCTGGTCCTTCAGTGACCCTTCACCAGTTCATTCTTGGTAAAATTCTCTGATCAAATGCAATGCTACTTACATAGCCTGAAAAGAGCAGTAAATTTGGGCACCATGGCTAGCAATTTGCTCCTGGATGCTTGACCAAACTACAATTGTAGAAAAGAGTAATAATAGCATAGAAAATAAGAGCTGTATGGACAGAAATGGCTCCGCTGAAGTCTTTTTGCTAGATGTAGTCACATCCTATTACACTGTGTATGATGCTCTCTGATTCTTATTTATAGGCTGGTCACCCTTTTCAGCAGCGCTGTGCCCAGTCAGCCTACTCGAACAGCAAGCAGAAGTGGGAGGCCCCAGTGTTTCTCCTCTTTTTGGACTGTGTGTGGCAGATCCTTCGTCAGTTCCCTTGCTCCTTCGAATTCAGTGAACACTTCCTCATCATGCTCTTTGAACACGCTTACGCTTCGCAGTTTGGGACGTTTTTGGGCAACAATGAAAATGAGAGGTTGGTGAGGATACTTTCTCAGAACTCTGCATCTGGCAAAGAAAAGAATCTCTTGGTTTGAAAAAGGGTGAGGGTACTTATGTAGTCTCTTTTAGCACAGGTAAGGTTCTCTTGATGTGGTGAAGTAGTCTGCCCTAATGTTAGGGAGCTCCTCCTTTTACAAGCGGGCCATTGTGACCAGAGAAACTTGTGGCTTGATCAGGGACTTGAATTTGTCCTCTCCAGGTCTAAGCTAATACCTCAGACTGTCTTGTCTGTCTGCCTGTGTGGCCTTGAAAAATATCCACCCGTTAGCAGTGTATATAGTCTCTTACACAGAAGCTCTTTCCGTAAAGGAATTAACAGCTGGAGTTCAGCAATGACAAAAGTCATAATTATGGGAAGCAAACCTGTCAGCACAGGGCTGGAGGAGAAGGTGAAGGCAAGACCTGTATGGGAGTCTTCTAAACTGAAGACCACCTAATGAGCGGAAGGGAAAGTAGAGCTGATAATACAAATAGGTGAAGATAGCTTAGAACTTCCTATAAACCTCTCTGCCCTTAAAGTGACCTCTGTTTAGAAGTCTTCTGTCTTCTGCAGGGCTGCTCGGCTGGTCATCTGTAAAACTAAATCAGACTTAGAACCAATAAAACCAAATCTGAAAGAGCATTGAATGTTACATGTAATAATTTGCCTGTCACATCTGAATATGTCTGCCTGCGAGCACAAAACTTTAAAGGCTAATGTTAAGCTTGTGTTGTCTGAAGTATTCACAGGGGTGGCAAATCTCCTGCTTGGGTGGCAGTTCAATTTGCTGACACGAGCAGACTGAGGTTTGCCAAAATCTAAGGAATAGGGACCCTTATGTAGCTCTTGGAGTGAGTTTAACCCAGGATAACAGTATTGCCTTCTTTCTGTGCTCTGATGTTTCCTGCCACCAGAGGGAACTAATCAGACATGCCTATTGTGCAATTCCAGCAATAATACTGCTTTAATTTACCCTGAGAACTATGCTATGATCCTTCCTTGATGCAAACCTATCATCCCTCACGGCTCTACTTTGGCAACATAATTCCATTTCTTTCTAAATGCGTCAGTCAGACCATTTCAGGGAGATAACTGATTCCTCATCTGGACAGAAGACAGCTAACTGCTCCCCAACTTAAAAATGTTATTTCCACATCTCTCTCCCCCCCCCCCCTTTTTTTTTTTTGAAATGAATTGTAATGGACTAGGTTGAGTAAATTGCTTTATGATTCACAGTTCCACAGCTATGCTGGTGAGGTGCTATTAAAGAGATTAGCCTGAATTATTCACCCTTGATTTCTCTGGGCTAGTAGCACATGGGAAAGCTTGTGATATTTTAACTTGCAGGGTTCTGATGAAACAAAGTGAGTTTGTATAGTTTAAACATGAAAGCTAATTTGGTCATATGGGTTTGTTAGGTCTAAACTGAAGCTGCAGCAAAAGACTATGTCCCTGTGGTCCTGGGTGAACAGGCCTCAAGAACTGAGCAAATACAAGAATCCTCTTTTTGAGGCCAACAGTCTTGTCATCTGGCCCTCTGTTGCCCCGCAGAGCTTGCAGCTCTGGGAAGGTAAGCCAGACTCTTTTTTTCTGCTATTTGTAAAGTGTATTTAGTCGCTACTTAAAAACTTTCTTAAGTGTTAACTCCTGTTGTCTCTGTTTCATGCTTAGTCTGTCTCAGCTGATGGCAGTCTTGCTCCCTATGAAATCTAAGAGCTAGATTACAGGATTCTTAAAAATTCTTGTATCTGTTACATTCTAGACTTGCTGGGTTGTGGATTGGGTTGCCCAGCATCCGTGAAGGGCTCCTTAGTTCCAGTATGGTTCTACTTTCTCTGTCGCTTCCTCCTGATGAAGAGTACATGCTGCATCCCGAGGCTCTACTCAGCTCAGTGCTGCTTAATGTTGTCCTTACTTGCACATGCTTGTGCATTCTTGCTTGCTTGTGCACGTGTTCTCTCTCTCTCTCACTGTCACTCATTCCCTCTTAAATCTTATTTTTGAGTTGCTCAAAGGTAAGTAGACAACGTATAGCCTAATCTAGGTATGTTTTGTAGGTCTCAGGTTTTTGTCCTGTATAAACTGAGACTCTTCTTTTTCCTTAAGCCATATGTGGGCCAGGATAATGGTAGGTAGTAGCTTCTCTGCTACAGAAACTTTCTTCATCCTGTGTCAGCTGAAGTGTTAACTGAAGTGAAGCGTGCAGGCTGTCACTGCAAGTTAGAAACTGTTCAACTTCGTCTAATCAGTGCATGAGGAAAAAAGGAAGGCAAAATAACTTCTATTTCATGATTAACCTTATTTAATAGGAAATGGTGAATCTGAGAGGATGCTCAGGACTTCAAAGTGCTGTTTAGGGGAGAGGCCGAGGGAAGAAATGTGGATTGTATGCCCACTGCCTATAAAAGCTGAGGAAATTTGAATAGTACTTCCAGCTTGGAACAAAGAGCCTTTCGTGACTTTCTCTGGCTTTCTTTGGGCTTTCAGGTGTCTTTCTTCGGTGGAACAGGTCTTCCAGGTTCCTTGACGAAGCCTATGAAGAAATGGTCACCCTTATAGAATACAACAAGCAACTGAAAGCAAAGGTTAATGCATTGAGGAGGAAGTTAGCAGAGCTGGAAACAGATGATCGAATGCAGGAGAACGCATGAGCTTGCAGGGCTTTGGACTCGGGTTTTTCCTTTCAACTCCTCTTTACACTAAAGACTAGACATGGAAAGTGCATGTGTTGCAGAGCCCTCTGGTGCAACTGATCCTCAGTCCTCCCACTGCTGAAACCTTCACTTCACACTATGTACGTCCCTGCTGTTTGGGAGAGATCTCTTTTGTTTACAGAAGACGTACACAACCAGGCGTGGTATCCTCTCTTGGCAGCTTTTCTGTCTCCAATAAATTGTGCACAGTGTCAGCATAAGCTGGAACTCTTACCTCTGTCCAACTCTGTTTGGATGACCAGGATGGGCCAAGAGACGGGATGTTTCAAATTTGTCTTGGACCTTCTCTGTTGAACTCTCTAAACACTCCGTTTGCAGGAATAAAATACAAAGTTATAGGTAGATAAAGGCATTTTGTCTGAAAGCACTTTTTTCCCCCCAAGAGTAGGTCAGGCAGCTTAGTTCTTTAGTGTCCTAGAAATTCTAGAACTGGTAGTTAGATCATACCGTTTTCTACACGTTTATACAACACCTTCAGAAGCCTTCACATCTAACGTTTGGTTGTTGTTTTAAGAATTGGCTAGGGAGCAGTGCTTGAATACCGAACCAGGGCAAGAAACTTCAGTGCAATACAGAATTCAAGCAGGAATTCTTTTAGCTTTTAAGCCATGACCTTCGGGTGGAATTGTCCCTCATGGACAAATATCTCTCAACAAATAAGCTTTATTTTATTCCACCTGGAAAACAGAGGCTAAATAGTTGGCAGAGGTGTTCACTTGCTGAGTAAAACTGTGACTTGGAACTGTCCTTTTAACTAGAGCCACGCTGCCCTCTTGAAACTTCTGGTTGCACTGGCTGTTTTTGTAAGTTTAAATAGATTCACAGCATTGCTAGGGTGCAAGGGCACTTACAGCACCTTTTAATCTACATCTCAACAAAAGTTTTTGCTCAAAAAAAATTTTTGCTTCAGGTGTAGTTTTTCCTCTCATGTTCATACAAGGTATTCTACATCCTTTGTGTTACACAGTCAAAAGCAAAAGGTGGGACTAGGTCTGAGCTAACATATCAGGTATCTTTTGCAGATTAAAAGGCTGTCACGCTACAAAAACGCTCACTTGTTTAGATCGCTTGTAGCTGCTAAAACTACTTCTTGTAGCTGCTAAAACTACTTAAAGATACTAGGGGTCAGCTTTTTTTCCCCAAGTTAATGTTGTCCTTTGTAGCTGTTCTTTGTTTCTGTGGCTGCAATCTGCCTCCCTTTTAATTCAGATCTTTGCTGGAGATTCTTTTTCTTCCTTTAAAAAGGCAGTCGAGAATAGGTCTGAAATACTAACTCACCTAGACATTTGTTCAACTTGATTCCATTGGTAGCTGTACATGACTGAGAAGATTTGAATTAAACAGATTGTTTGGCTGGGATTACTTTAAAAGTTGCTCACTGTTAGCTGCTTTCTTCTGAAGTGAATGGAGCTGCATTAGGTCAATGTTGACCACTGTGGAAAGCGTTGAACTTCTCTTAGCCATGGCATTTTCTGTTTTGGAGTGAAGATGCCTTTATTTAAAAGCTGCTTTCACAGAAATACATGTGTGTGTATATGAGGATGGAGGGTATTTAATTGTCTTAGAAGCATCTGGAGAGTGGTGATTTGCAAAAATCCTATAACCTAAATATGTTCTAAAAATAAGTGTTCCATAAGCAAGGAAATCATTTATATAAAATTACTCGATAGTGATTTTTAAATGCTACCTTAATGCCTTTTACTTCAGTCCTTGTTTCCTTAAGTATTTTCTTCTTGACTAGCCTAAGCTTGGTCCTAAAGTGTTTGTTTTTGTTTTTTTGTCTCTTCTCTCCCCAGAAGGGTTAACCTGCATGGTTTCATTTTACCAGGGCTGGTCTCTTTAAAAAGAGATCCTTGTTTAACAGAAGTAGCCTGAGGGCAGATAGGTAATCTCCCCCCCCCAACCCCCCCCCAATTTTAATATTAAATTATTTTTAGATTTGGAGAAGAATAGTCTTGTTCACTAAATCAAGATTGACGTAGGGAGTAGTTTTCTGGGCAGGCTAGTGATCTTTATTGCATAATGGGGAGACGCAGGTTGGGCAAGCCTTCCTCCCACTGCCAAACCCCTGATTTTGGAACTGTCTTCCAGATATTTAGATGTAGGCCCTTGAAATTACTGCTCACCCTTTAAAGTTATGGCTATGTTGTCTGCACCTGCCTTGGAGGAGTATTCCTATCCAATTCAGCATTTCTGCTGTGCCTGTCTGTCTGAAATGCACCATTACTAGTCAGATGGGAAGGATTCAGAAGGGACTGTTTTTTTTCCCCCCATAATAGACTATACATAAAACATTTAAAGGTTATGTAATTTCCTAACATAGTAATTATATATTGAGCTAAATAATAGAGAAGCAAAGAGGTTTTTTGATCTAATTGCCTGGCTGTTCTAGTCTCTCATGCAAACTGCATGCATCTGAGAAAATTGGGTAACCAGCTGTGACAGCTAATAAAAGGCAGAATAATCTTTGAGCTGGCATTTTATCCTTGACTTATGTTTCAGGCCTGAGTCCACCCTTAAGTGGTGTGTGTGTTTGCCTTGGCTTAGTGGTAGTGTGGATCACAGCCTTAACGTTAAAATGCTAGTGTAGCTCCGAACAGTGACAGTAGCTCTTTCCTGCTTCCTCTGCCATACAGCACCTTGCATTGACAACAAATCACAAAACTTGGAGGCTTAAGTTAACTTCCAAATAGTCGCCTTCCTGAGACGCTGCCTGGGAGCAGTCCTGCAAGATATTGCATGTGCTGGAGTTAGGGTAGGATGTTTGGACCCTTGCAGGTCGTCTTGGGAGAACACAGTTCCCGAACCTTTTGTGGTAGCCTATTTACATGTTCTTTTTTGACCTTTTCATCCCCAGCGCCTTCCAGGCTTGAGTCTGGTGGCTACTGATAATACACAGTGGAGCCCTCCAGTTCTTTGCTTACCTGTACGTCCACAATCTTTATTCACATACTTAATGCTAATGATCAGCCTGCTGCTTCTTAGAGAGGGAAGCTTGCTGGACTCCTTGCCTCACAACGTCACTGACACGCTGTTCACAGGTTACCCGCGTGTACCTGAGCTGTAAGCATTGTGGTAGCGTCCAACTCTGGCACTTCAGAGTGGCATTGCCTTACACTATTGCTGAGACACCTGCTTCTGTTCTTTAGCACATGGCTATCCACGTAACAAGCTGGACACAGAGCCCCCTGAAAACTCCAGGGGTCAATCAGTGTGGGCACTCTGCCATTTACCAAAAAAAAGGGAAGAAGAACTAACTTGCACAGTTTTCATAAACACAAAGGGAATATATACCTTCAAAATTTTGATTGTATTGCTCTAACTCTTGAATGTGGCGATCTGTTGAAGTGCACTATTGTCCATGTTGCATATGATATAACTTAAATTGCACTGTATAGCATATTGGCGTCTCACGTATGCTTTGCTAAAGCCTTGGAAAGTGCTATCGTGTACAGGTTCCTGTACGAGGGAAGATGTCTATACTAGCAATTCTACCTTTTTTGTAACTGTGACATTGAATAGCACTGTGTGAAGTCGTGTATTATATATCTGTTACCTAGTTCAAATTTGTGGAGTGCATTTCTGTCCAAACATCTGGAATTGCTAATTGGACTTGGCTGCTGCTTCAATCTTGATTTAAAATGAAATAGTAACAGGGTTGGGAGTTGTGTGCTATTGTTAGAAGCGTGCTGTATGTGTACACAATTCCAGCCACTATGGTGTTGAATATATTGCCAAAAAGGTAACAAATTCAGGAAAAACTATAATGGCTGAGATTGCTTAGCCATTCGGGGGAAATTACAGATACAAAATGGCTGTAAACTTTTGCTGTAGATTTATTGAGAACATAGTGGAAATGTCTGTCTGAATTAAAATCTTGAAGACTCTAAAAAGTTCTTTAATTACGGTGCGGGATCTTCCCTATCAATATTGCCTTTGTTTTTCAGTCGGTGGGTGTGAGACTTGGGTGCAAGCTCTTGCCTGAAAACTTTGATTCTCTTCAGCTCATGTGCATTTTTCTCATACTGCTTATCATGGGTTGTGGTGGTAGAGAGTAGGTAGGTTCATGCTGCAGGGCTGCGTACAAAGGCGAAGGTTGAAACAGTGAGTCTCTGCAGGCTTTGCTGAGCTCTGCTCCCAAGGCTTGATCCTTCAATACCAGCTCTACTGGGAGCTGTAGTTTTGCTCAAATAGTATGTGATGGATACACAAATTGGTTGACTAAGATTTTTACACTTGTGTTAGACTTTCTAAAGGAAGAAAGGCAGGCTCCTTCAAAGGGAGAGTGATTAGCACTGAAGCAAAACCTTGTAAGAGGTTCATTAGTAGAGCTGGGGTTCTGTTACTCCTGCTTTGTGGTGGTGTATTTGGTGGTGTTGCCATGTGAAGGAGAGGGGGAAAGACAAGCAGTGCTCAGGAAATCAAGGCTGTGAACCATGAACGAGATCTGTCCTGGCTGGTGTGTGAATACCCTGTGAGCTGCTGGGCTGTCCATCTCCCTTGGGCATCACTGATGGTTTCCACCTCTCCTCTGGAAGATGGAGAGTTTGAGTGTGCCTTTTGGCTTTTCAAGAGATGGAGACTCTGGGTCTCAGTCTTGCCCTGCAGTTTGCAAAGTGCCTTATGCTAACGCAGTGAAGGGTGCTGAGGGTTTTAGTTTGAAAAGATGGGTATTCACTCCCTATTTGTGCAAAAAGACTGCCAAATCCAGGCTGAAAGAAAATGGGTCTATTTTTAAGTATTTTTAGCTATTAAAATTAAGCTCAGGCCAGGCAGCTTGATTTGGTTTAAACCTCCTCTTTGGAGAGGAGGGGGAAAAAATAACTATCTGTAGATTTCTCTTTATTTAACGCTTCTTAAGACCAATAGATCTTCGGAGGTTTTAGGGTGGGGAGATTTCAGCTGAGCATGGGTGAGAGGACATCGTTCATCTTGCAGTTTAAAGCTTCATGTGTAGAGGTTCAGGAGTGCTTAAAAGGCATAAAACAATTTGTTGGAATCAAACTATAATAGAGATATCACACGAAAACAGTCCCTTTAAAGAGCTTGTACTGTACTAAAGGGCAGCTGTGATGGGTTCCTTTAACCCAGATTATCTGCAGGTTAAAAGTGGCATTTGGATTCAATGTGTATAAATACCTGATGGGAGGGAGTAAAAAAAGATAAGAGATAGGTCCTTCTCAGTGGTGCCCAGTGACAGGACAAGAGGTAATGGGCACAAACTGGAATGCATGAATCTAGTTTAAACTTTTTTTTTTTTGACTGAAGGTGGTCAGATACTGGTACAGGTTGTGTAGAGAGACTGTGGAGTCTCCATCCTAGGAAACGCTCAAAACTTGACTGGATACGGTCCTATGTGCAACCTGCTGTAGCTGACGCTGCTTTGAGCAGGGGTTTGGACTAGATGATCTCCAGAGACCACTTCCACCCTCAGCGATCCTGTTCTTCACTTGAATTTTAGCCTGCCTTTCCAAGCCTCAATTCTCAAGCCTCGCCTTATGTCGTATCACTGCTGATCTGTCTCATCTCACCCCTCTCTAACCTGTTCACCAACTTGGACCAGAGTTCAGAGTAGAAAACTGAAAGGCAATTACGTTCCTACAAGTTTCATGAGAAGCAGCAGCCTGGCTGAGGTGTTGAAAACCTGTTAACCCACATGGATGGGATATGCACAAGCTCACCTCCTACTGAATGTTGAGTTCCTGTGGCTGGTGATGATTGTGCAGTATCCAGATTTCAGCATCTTGCACGTGCTGCAGCATGAGCAGGTCCTGTGGGAGCTGAAAGCCAGAAGATTGCGGCTATAGGTATTTCCTTCTCAAAAGCCAAGTGCTTTTGTTCAGTGCTGTTCTAGGTCTCTTTTCCATGCTGCCAGTTTCCCCCAAGCAATGAAGAAGACAGTGAGGAGAAACTACCACTGTGCCCTGAATGTGGCTCAGAAAGATGCATGTCTAATGCTGGACTGTGCTCAATTGTTCACGGTTCTTCCTGTTGTGTAAATGTCACGGCAAGCCTGCAGCATTTGTCTTCCAGAGCCAGAGATGATGACCCTTTGATGTTCTGTTGCAAGAGTGTTGCTGGTGGTTTCAGATCACTTTATCTGATGCTGCAGGTCACGCTAATGGAGGGTTTGCTCTTACAGCTCAATATCTGCTTCCTCAGTATCTTAGAAAGTAGTGGCAGAAAGCCTGGCCACTACTCAAAAGAGGAGAAAACCTCTGTTTTTCATATAATACTTTTTTTTATCTGGTGAGTAAAACTTCCACTTGGGATAAAAATCAGGAGAGAAGCTCCAGAGTTGCTGTTGGCTTCCTGTGGGGAACTCACCAGGCTGGTGAAATAAATTCAGTGTTTGCTTCTGCTGCTTTTGGGCAAAATCTGGTTTTGTGCTGGTTAACACAAACAGAGTTGAAGCTCTGTCATCTTTGTTGTACTGCTGCTTATTTTTTAAGCTAACCTTGCGCATCTTAGGTCATGGCTGTCTAGGTAACATCCTCTGCTGTAAACGGTCAAGGTTTTAATGTTGCTTTGCAGCGTGCAGACAGCTGTAGCATGAGGGGCAGCATAAGAACAAAATGCCCATTAAGTTGACTAGTCGACTTACTGTGGTAAAAGTGCCGGTTATTTTAGTCTTAAAAACACTGGGCATAGTTACCAAAATTAGGTTTGTGTTTTATAGGAGCTGTTGTATGTGCAAGGGCCACTTGATTTGTAGCTCTATGTTAGTGCCAACAGCATTATCCTCCTTGAACTATAGGATGAAAAATTCAAAGCACTTTACATATCTGTTCAGGGGTCTGTACCCCTAACACTATGTAATTTGGAGTACCTAATTTGGGTAGCTAAAAGCTGATCTATTACTTGCCTTATTGTAAAGCAGAAGCTAGTAGACCCTGATTTAAAGGGTAGGCGTATTTGCAGCTGCTAGTCTTGTAGCTCACTAGAGGATAATGTAATTCCCCAACTAGATGCAGCTCCAGGAGTTTTCAGTACCTACTTTTTCAGGCCACGTTTCACAAAACTGGGATGGCTTGCTTCCCCCCTCCCGCCCCAAAAATGATCCCAATGGTCTAAGCTTGACAAATGTGTGTAGGATATAAATCTTCACACAAGGAAAATGTGTGGGAGGAGGGGAACCTTCTACGAGGAGGTGGATAATTAAAAGCTTCCCAGAAGATGCACTTCAGGGAGATGCAGATCTAGGGTTTGTGCTGTGCCAGATGCGAGACCAGCTGGGCTGGGCATGGTGCATCTAGGTAACGGTACCACCTAGGGTAATAGTTTCTGGGTGGAAGGGTGTAGCCTGTGGTCAGGAAAGGCTCTCAGCCTTTTTGCAGGTGGCTATTCCGGAGGTGCCTGAGATACAGGATACAGGAACTTTGCTTCCTGATATTGTTTGCCGAGATGGGAAAAATAATTTGTTGTGATGCACCAGCAAGGAAGGTAGAACATTTATAAAGGATGTTTTGTGTTTTAAACCATTTTTTTTCTAGGCTTGTAATTCCTTGGTGGTATGAAATATAAATTTTCTTACCAAAAATGCTTTCTTTCTGGCAGGAATAGGGTTGTTTTAGAGTCAGTTCTTGGAGCAGAGAACTGCTTGCCTTTTGGGTACTGCATTTCCTCCATCTCTGCCGTGTTTAGTGCTGCTTTGGGTATATAAGCTACTGTGGATATATCCTAAGTGGCTATGGGTAGCCTGTGCTGACAAGTGGAATAGATGTGCTGTAGGAATGGCTTTGCCTAAGTGAAATGCTAATGCACTAGACTGAGAACTACGCTTGAACTGAACACGTTTTTTTCCCTCAGGGCTTGATGATATTGTTGCTAAAGTGAAGACGACTCGCTGTGTTTGATATTTAATCAGTTGTTGCAGGGAGAAAACAGCCCTTTGGATGATAGTGGGGTAAGCATAGGATTCTGGTTTCTGCAGTTCCTCTAGGTTTGCGTTTGCAGGGGGAAAATATAGCTGCGCCTTGCTGGGAAAAGATTTTCTTCTGCGGATCCTTAAGGGACACTTATGCAACATCAAATTTATAAGGTATTTCGGCTGTGTTGCCAGCAGTTTGCAAAGTTGTAATTTCACAATGAGGAAGGCTTTGGTAATGCTGAATTAAAATGCTGCTGTTTCCCTCCACCCTTTCTTTCTTCTCACTTGTGCTGGCCCAGCTGTCCGTGATGCCATGTGGCAGATTGGATTGGATAAACTGGTCAGGATAAATAACCAGGCTGAAAAGGAAAAGCTCCACAGCCTGAGTCAGCATCTGTGAGGATGAGTGCTGTGATGATGCTTTTGATAATTAAGTCACGAAGAGGATTTGTTAAATGTAAACCCATGTGGATTAATGAGCTGTCATTTAAGGCTCTGACACTGCAACTGGATCCCCATGTAGACAAGAAGGATAGTTGGATTTTAATGCACCTGACTGGGATTTAGGAGGCGAAAGTCTGAGTCCTGCCACTGCCACAGACAGACTGCTGGTTTGACCTTGGGTGAGTTACTTCGTAGCCTTCCATCTGCATCAGTCTTGGCTACAGGGAAAGTGTGCTTTCTGAGTGAGTCCAGATGAAATTCCTTAATTCTCATGTGCCTCCTGTGTGTTTACTGTTTG